GTGCATGTACGAAAGTCAGAGAAAGGGACAATCATCATAACATCAACTGTCATAATGCATTTCTAAATATTAGTAAAATCAATTTAGCTTAACTTGATTTGTAATACATTTTTTGATTTATTCAAATTCCCTGCATATATCCAAACACATATGCCTACATCTTAACGATCTAAAATCCTTAAGAACAATATCAATTTCTGTGATGCTTAACAGCTACAATCTTTTCTCAAAATTATACTCCCATGTGATTCATGCAGTGTTATTAAACAAATACTAATTGAAGATAAAGGTCATTTTCAAATGATTAAAGAAACACAAAATAAATAAACAATCTGAGAACATCTATGTTAGTACATTCATTTCAAAATTAAACCAACAACAGTCTTCAATAGTCCTTCAACAATCATGAAATCTGTAGAATGTGCCTCATCTATCTGAATGATGGGTAGTTGCTATAATCTGGGACTGTTAATTACATGCTGTTTATTCAAAGTAACAAGTTTTTCTCCAAGACTTATTTGTATAATCATTTGATGTTCAAATATGTCCTAAGGACATAGTTAATTAACAAATGGGCAATAGCTAGCTCATGAACAAAAATAACAATACAGAAAGCCTAAAATAAAAATTAAATGTGTGTATTTAATGTATAGCAGGGGACAATGGCCAGAGAAATGTTTTAGAGGCAAGATTCTCTCGATTCAGGTTTCTTTTGCTGTCTTTTCTGAGTGTTGGTCATAAAACTCCATAGTGTCAACTATTATCAATAGAAAACATACTTGGACTACAAAGATATGTAAGTAGTCAGTAAATATCACAGGATGATTTTCTCATGAATCAGACTGGTATGCTACCACATAAACAAATCCCAAGCATCATGACAATTTATTTAACTCAAGTAGTTAACTTATAAAATAGTTTTTATATTCTAATATATAAATTTTAGTTAGTCTAAAAATTTGCTATTGCAAATTTGCTATTGCTGCTTTAATTTTATACTGAGGAATCTAAAGCGCTATTATTGTTACTGATTAAGTAAGCATATAGTACTTGAAAATTACAGTATTATGCCTTCATATTTGGCAAGAATGTGAATATTGGTCTATGAACCAATGAAATAATTTTCTTCTCTATCAAGTAATTTTTATCCACCAAAAAACCTGAATGCAAAGTGAGCGTTCTTTAAAAAATTCCACCTTTCAATTGACATTTTATATGTAGGATCAGAAATACCTGAATTTAGAATATCATTACTACTTTTTTTGAAAGGAAAAAAAGTTACATTTTAGTCAAGTATTGCTAGAAAGAAATAGGAAATCTTTCCACAAGTAAGGTCCACACTACAATGGCAAAGTCTAGTTAAAAGCTTTAATTTAGTATGTGAATTTCCACCTCACCAAAAAATTCAGATACTTTATCTAGAGACCAGATCAACTTTGAAACTACCTTCAAGATATCTCTAACCTTCAAGTAGATAAAAATGGAGAATTGAAATAGAGCTGTATAATATAAATTTGCAAATATTTCTGAGGCAACAAAATGACCAGTAAGAATTTTAAAATTTACTTTAATGACTCCATTTCTAAAATACATGAATACTAAATGTATCTATTATGTGCAGTAAAAACATCTTGTCACATAGCCATACATTTTTTCGCTCTTCCTTATTATCACCATTCTAGTACCTAACATATTTTCTTACCTCTGAATGTTTTACCACTTTAAATAACCTCAAGCTATTGGTCTACTTTCCAAGTTACCATGAGGATATTTACTTGAAATCTATCATCTACCTACTTTTATGAATTCAAGTTAACAGAAAGTGGCACTTTACTATATTTTGAGATTCTTTTTTTTTTTTTTTTTTGAGATTCTTTTTCTATATTTGAATTTTTTTTTTTTTTTTTTTTTGAGATTCTTTTAAGATTTCTTTTCTGAGAAAATTTCACAAGCCATCAGTTGCTTCTGTGTTACCAATAACTGGCATTAAGAACATTAGCCTTTTTATTCTTTAAAAGAAAGATTATTCATTTACGTAAACTGTTTTCTCCTTGTTTATACATATTGATGATTTCAAACTGGGTCTCAAGAGATGGATTTCTTGGAAACTTAGACTTTTGGAACTGGAATGGACATTAGAGATCATCTACTCCAACCCCTTCATTTTATGGTTGAGGACACTGAGCCCAGAAAAGATAGCTGAGTGACTTTGGGCAAGTTTACCAAGTGAGAGAGCCAGAATCAGAAGCCAGGTCTCCTGACACCAGTTAGGAGCCAGGTCTCCTGACTTTTAGTCCAAGGATATTTCCATTACACATACACTGACTCTCTATTCTTTGAGGCTGTCTTGGGGCTGCTCACACTGCTCAAGCTACTTTGTAAATGATCACATTCACCAAATAAAATGCTTTTGATGACAAGTCATGGGACCTTGGAACACACCTGTGTAATCAGGCTATACTCATAATCATGATTTCCCCCTGCCTGGAACATCTCAGGGACTCCTCGTTGAGCATGCAATAAATTATAAGCTCCTCAACATGGTATTCAAAGCAGTATATGCTCTAGTCCCAACAAATCTCATGAAAGTCTCCCCCTCTTGATCTACACTGTTGACACTAGCCTTTGTTCAGTTCTTCTAAGGCACCAAACTCCTTCCTATCCCACACATGCCATTCTTTCCACACAGGCTTTTTTCCCCACACTTTGTCTGGCTAGCTATTAATTATTCTTCAGATCTCAGTTTTAAATATAAGACCCCTTAAAAAGGATTTCCCCAAGCCCTCTGATCATTTGCCCCATTCCCACCTCCTTGTTTTTACATTCTTATTGCAACCTATATCTTTTAGTGTGTATACCAAGTCCAATTAATGAATTATTTATTCAGTCACTTATTTATATTAATTTCTTGTTCAATCTACTCCAAGCTCTATAAGAACAGGCACTCTGTCTATTCTTAGTCACCACTCTACCCTCTAGCACTTAGCAGACTGTGCTGAAACACAATAAACACAATAGCTAGTATATTTACTATAGCTAGTTGATTACTATGTGCCAGACCTTGTTCTAAAGCTGATGATCTTACTTGACACTCCAACAATCCCATGAGGTTGGTACTAGTATTATATGTATTTCACAGATGACGAAACCCAGGCACAGTGCATTCAGATACTTGCCCAGTATCACAGAGCTAGTAAGTGATGGAACTGAGATTTGAATTCAAGCATTCTGATTCCAGAGTCCATTTTATTCAAATAATTATTATGCTGATGTACACCCAAATATTTATTGAATAAATGAATGAACTTACCCACCAAATCAAATTAATCATATCACTGAACTATATAAATGGAATAACACCACCACATATAGAGTTATAATATTTCAGGCACTAAGTAGTATACATATTTTAATGATTTAATCTCACAGCAACCCTACTGTCATTACCACTTCATAGATGAGGAAACTAAAGAACAGAGATTAAATAACTTGCCCAAGATCATATTGCTAGTTAAGTGGCACATCTGGTGTTCAAACACAGGCAGTTTATTCCAAGTCTGTGCCTTAACTTCTATACTGCCTTGCTGTGACAGCCCATATCTGAAAACAGCTCAAAGTTAATAAAATACTAATATAACAATAATTAGTGAACACACAAAAGAGGGAGGAAACCCATCTGTTTAGGCTAAATTGACATCCTCTATATAATGGAGATAAACAAAAACGCTCTTCCCTTGTATAAATGAAAGGTAGCCCTTCCTTCTGGTGGATATCACTCCATAGCACAGTGAAGGGTCTTTCTGGGGAGTGATGGATGTGAAGGATGCCTTCTGCATTTCTTCTCTTATCCTTTAACTGGGTTCCCTTGCAAAGAGCACCGCCTGCATTTCCATATGCGGTAGCCCTGGTTAGACTACATAGAATTGTCAAAAGCATGTGCACACAGTAAGGAAAAAGGAAAGATCTAACTCTAGGATAAAGGCTTAAAAAATGCAAAAGCAATGTAAAAATCCAGAGCCATGGTGAGCAAAAAGAAAAATCTTGCTAAAATGTGCTATAACCTTGTCAAACCTTGCTAAAATTCCAGATGCACCATGCTCTTCACTAAATTCTTCAGTTTCAGCAGCTAGAAAGTGACGATAACAACACTTACCTTGAAGGAATCCTTTCAATAATAAAATAATATTGGTGAAATCCTTTCTGTAAATGATAAAGCACCATGCAAATTCTATGTTTACTCAATATTCAAATCTTATAAACTCTATAAGGATCCTTTTTTCAGGTCTTAAAACAATTTTGTTCTCTGTGAAAAATTACTAGTGAAAAAGCATTGCTTTATATGATGATCCTTTGAATGTATGATTCCACTTTGCACATGGTTGAAACTGTATACTCTGAATATGCCAGCACAACAGAAACAAGAAAAGAGGGAGCCTTAGAATGAGGTAGCATTTTTCTCTAAGATCATCCTTTTGGAAGAATACTTAAAAACAAAAGTGTAATGAAAAGAAAAATTTTAGTTCAAGGTTGGATGACTCCAGTCAGCTCATTTGGACAAAGGATAGATGTTATTGTTCCAGAGTCTGGGTATTCAGCAGTTTTAGAAGGTGTGCTATAAAAGCAGGGCAAAGAAATCTAGCTTTAGAAGCCAGATTTCACAGACTGTGGCCCGTGTGCAGTGTCAAAAGAATAGGCCAAACTGGTCAGTTGCGTGAAAGAAAAGTAAAAATAAATCAGATCAGCAAGGGTGTAGATGAAATGAGCAATTTGACCACACAGGTACAATGCATGATATTGGAATTACTAAGCACAGTTAATGTGAGAGACATTGGGAAATTCATTTAAATTCTCTATATGCTTCAGGTCTCCCAGAAGCAAAATGCAAATAATGAAAGTCTTTCTTTCTAAAGTGGTGTCATATGCTTAGGAGAAGGACACTACATGATCAGGGAGAATAAACCTGTTATCTTTGATGACAAAATGAGATCTTATAACCTTACCTAACAGATTGGTTAACCACAAGGCCAGATCTTCTTTCATCGGTAGCAAATTAGCTTCATGTCTGCTGGCCAGCCACTGGCTATACTGATGCATATCAGAGAGGCCAGGTCCACTGCGTACCTTTGGGCTCACAGCAGTGCACATTATTTATCCACTTGTAATACCTGTTTTGGAAACAAAAGAGCAATTGCTTTTTATACAGACTTCTCTTGTTAAAATCTCACTGCCAATGACACAGTAAGGAACAGGATCTATGGAAGTTTGGATGCAAGTCAGGTTATTAATTATTAAACCCCCATGAAACACTGTTTGCTTTACTTGTACTGGCCCTGTCACTTTTGACCAACTACTTGGTAGGAAGCAGCAGCTGTCAAAGGTCAAATAGAAAAATCAAACAGTAAGCTCTCTGCTTGTGTAAAACATCATATTTGGAAAAACGACAGTTTCTAAGGAAAGAAATTCTACTTATTCAAAACCAATAAAAAGTGGTTGATTAAAATTTGGGTATCCAAATTGTAAACTCCCATTGTTTGGGTTAATTTTTGAAGCCATCAATTTCCACAGAATTTTAGGACTGAATACTAGCAATGACAGTATTTGCAAAATTTCTTATAAACATGACCGTTACTCTTAAAACTATTACCTATGAGATTAAGCACAGCCCTTGGTTCTTTGCAGATGGCCAAGTAATCATGCACTTATACTTTAGAGAATTGGGTGGGACATGGGGGAGTGTGTCCTTTTAGAGTCCCTACTACACTTCTCTTATTTTACAGTTAATGAAAACAAAACCAAAGAGGAAGTGTCACTCAACCAAGATCATATAGCTAGATCACGGCAGAGTCAGGCTTGAACTTGGGTCTTTACTCTAAGACCATTACTGTTTTCAGAATGACACATTTTACAAAATAGTGTCATCAGGAACCCACGTTATAACCCAGGAATTACACCGTAATTCTAATAAATATCATCACAGGTTTTCTTCTGTCATACTTTGTACCTTCTCACTTTGTATGTTTTGCATACTAGGGTTTGTTTGTATTCATGTTTAGCAAAGAAGTAATTATATTACATATCTTATATCTACACATTAAGGGATGATTTCACTAACCTATGAGTAACACAGTCTTCTCTGTGGGTTGCAGAAAAGATGTATGAATATGTACTTGGCCTTAAATGTAGTACTATTGTATGCATTATTTATAGGACCTAAGACTACAGATGTAATATTGGAGCAGGAAGGTAATAAACTCATAAGTTTATGTGTAGAACTCCATACTGTATGCAAACAGTGACTATAAAATAACCAAACGCGTTATGACTGAATGAAATGAAAATGAAAATGTTTGCAAATGACAAAAAGTAAGATTTATATGATATAATGGGGTTTTTAGCTATATTTATTAATTACTAATGGTATTTTAAGTTTACCAGTATAAGTTGTATATACCCTTGTCAGTTTTATCACTTGAAACGTTACATAGCATTCTTTTCCAATTAATCTCAAACTCTAATTCTCTTAGCCTAGGTTAATTTTTGTCTTTTAAAGACAGCTTTTAAACAAAATAAGACATTGGTGTTCAGAAAACTGTAAAATGTGACAGTCTCACAAACATTTTGCTGTAGCATTAGAAAAGACTGCTGGGAGCATGATTAAACACCTAAAAAGTGTCATAAATATATAATTTAAAAGCACAGACAATTTAATTTCCAGAGAAATTATGCTTTGAAGTAATTTTTGCAGAAAAAAATTACTGTAACTTTTCTTTGAAAACACCTTCTATAAATCTCTGTATATCTAGTCATCTAAAGTAATAACTAGTGAAAATGTGAAATATTTTAATATACCTTGTCATATGCTACTAAAGTGTCACTACAGGGACCAGAAGATCACAATTGTCTTTTTTCTTTTGCAGTTAATCATGACATTATTCATATAAAGTCCTAAAGATTCTCCAAACCCTGTGACTAAACCCGAAGGCTAAAACATTTTTTTGCCCTAGTTCTTTAAAAAATAGGACCAACCCCAGGAAAACAAAACATTTCCCAGTAGTTGGTTAGGATTCCTACAGGCTAGCTAGCCTCAGAAACAAACATTTAAGTAATAATACATTTAAGCACATGATTCATACATTTAAATAACTAATTGAAATCTTAAAAGGGTTACCTCTAAAATGCCTTTCTTCTCAAGACACAATATCTCCCGCTACTTTCCTGAAAGTGAGATGTGGTAGTTCAGTAACTTTACCTACATCCTATTATGTTCTCTGCAACTTCCATTTAAGCATCAGAGTCCTATTTTGCTTTGTAAGAGCAAGAAGACACCTCAGATTCGTAAGCTCATTGTCCAGCAAAGAATTCATCAAGGGATAGTTTACAGTAAGCCTAATGGCATGTAACAGTTTCAGTGAGCCAGAGGGACACAATCTGTCCCCTCAATGCTTCTAAACAGTGAAGTTTTTATTTTCCTTGACAGTGGCACATTTATTTCTCATGTAGTCTGTCCTGTATTTTGCCAGAAATGTAATTTAAACTATCTTCTAATATTTACAGATGATCATTAAGTTAAAACAATAAGAATAACTAAGCAATGTTTGTTACGCTGCTTTGTATATAATCAAAATTATATGTAAAGTGAAAAAAAAGAAAGAACAGAGTTATATTTTCCCAGGAGGCAAAGGTAGGAGAAAGAAGGCTTAGTGGGTAATTAGCATCTGACAGAAGTTAAACAATGAAACATATGCCAAATATGTAGACACCTAAGTCACTGTCATAGATAGGGACTCTTCTGTTGTTTAAGGGACTCTTCTGTTTAAGTCCCTTTTGAAAAAAATTAGGATTTTGATCCAAATTCTTCTGATCCTTTTTTCACATTTCAAATCACCATCAAACTTGGCATGACTCTATGGTTTAGCTGAAAGTCATTACATGGTGGTCTTGGATTTAAATATAGCTGAGATATGAATAGAAAAGATGAAAATGGACCCAGCTAGCCGGATCAAAATTCGGAGTGTGAATTACCCCATGTTGAAACAGTTTCCAAATGAAATGATTAAATTGCGGTGAACAAAGGTCAAATAAATTTATATTACCCAGATAAAAAGATCACTACAGGATTATAAACCTTTTATAATTTTCAACAAATGTTTAATCCATCTGAATGAGTTGAATTAGATCACAAAGAACAAATTACAAGAAAAAGGTCATTTCTGATCTTTTGAATTCATTCAAACATTTTCGAAAACCACCAGAGATACCAAGGGGTAGCTTTTAAGACAGGAAATGAAATGATACACTGACTTGAAGGAAAAAAATAGGTTTTGGAGAAAGAAAAACTCCTTTTTTTGTATAACATATCTAAATACTGAAAGATGTTACTATTAAAATTCATACAACCTAAATATTTAAAAAGCTTGATAAGTAACTTCAGTAATTACTAAGCAAAGCCAATCGCTTTGAAAAAAGGAGTAAGGATTCAAATGCTTCTATGACTTCTTCAGACTATGGCCTCTCCAAGCTTTATGGGTCTATCTAAAAATGGATAACTCAACCCTCAGGATTTGGAATTCAGAAAAATAAAACTTAAAGGGAAAAACATGCAGAAACTTAATACAGAATTCTTCAAAGAATGTGTGTGTGTGTGTGTATTTTTTTCTTTCTTTCCATAGAAGTGATTCTGGAATAACCATTATGAATATGATGAGACTTGAACCAGCCCAGGGGAAGAAGAAAAAATTAATGACTCCATAAGTAAAATATCACATGTTTAAAGAGTCTGTTTAGTCTGTTGTTCCAGAATCCCAGTTGAAGACATAGTTTTGACTCTGAGGAAAAAGTATTCTTTTTCACCACCTAGAGGTGTGCTTCGATTATGACCAAGATGGTTTCTGGTTTATCTCTAGTCTTTGTTGCCATATTATAAAAAAAAGTATCACAATATTGCATGGAAAATAAATTGGAAAGACAGAAAAATAAGAATAAAATGATAAACATTATATCACTACTGTTTTGATATGAAATTCTGCTAAGAAGCATGATTAATAGAATATTAGAGCTGGAATCAGAAGTCCTGGGGTCAAATACTGGTTCTACTACCTGGCCATTTAGTAGTTGTTCTATCCTAGTTATATGACTTTTTCTCTTTGTACTTGAGTTCTCCAGTATGTATAATGGAGGTTAACACCTCACATATACGTGTGAAGATGAAATATTTGTGTCAGTATTTGGCATATATTTTATATTCAACAAACACTAGCTAAATTGAAATCATCACCATAGGAAATATGCAAAAATAAAGCTTCCACTGACTTATTTTAAAAAGAAAAGAAATTCTGTAACAAAAATAGGAATATTTTGTAGAACTCTAGATAACTGAGAAAAGACAAAGGCCAGGGGGAGAAATGAAAAGATAAAGAATTGATGAAATAAAACCATAAATAATGGAAAATCCCAAGTTTTCTTCATATTGAGAGGGATGAAACTCCCAGGATAATGAGTGAAATGCTGAACTCCAAGATGGGTAGTTTACATGTTTTTAAAAACAAATTTTGGTAACATATTATACTTCATTTTGGCATCAAAGACTCATAAGTTATTAAGAAAGGGGAATGCCATGCCTCTCAAAATAAATGTGAAAGGATGTCACCACAACCCTTCCCCCCACAAAGACACCTAACTGTGGCCATTTAAAACAGAGTGCTAATGAACCCACAGCCAAGGGTCCCTTCACTAAAGGCCACCTTTGTTCTGATTTAGAGCATCGACCTCCCCTGTCTAGTCAGTTTTGTGTGCTATGGGTGTGAAACAACTAAGAAAACAAAGTTTATAGGCCAATAACACTGTCTTCTACAATTAAAAAAATAAAAACACCTTAAGCCAAACACCCTTCCATAATCTGGAAGGAGAAAATGCTATCTTTCAAGCTAGACTCAAAGAATTAACAACCAAGGATAGCTCTAGATGGCTCTTTCACCATTCTGAGTTCTTTACACCTATGTGATTCACTTTGGCTGGCCAATAATATATCTACAAAGCTATATATTCTCAACCAATGTCATGAATGTAAAATCTTAACCTAAGAATCTTAACAGAAAATAAAAGTCCAAAATGTAATCAGAAAGGTAATTCTAGATCTTGTAAATGGACCTTCGCTTCTGGCTAAGGGGAGCAACTTGTCCGAAATTAAAAAGCGCCAAGTGTAAAGGCAAAATGACACTCGTTACTAGTTTTTCTAATTATATAATAAAATCTTTAAACTCAAATGGACCTTAGAAGATTTACCAGCCAAATTTCTGGTTATTCATAAGGGTCTGGAAGCCTAAGACGTTTTGGCCAAAGTAACAAGTCTAGTTAGTCAGTCATTAAAAGTACCCTACTCAGCCCTCCTGGTGACCAAACTCAAGGAATGCTAACTCTCTTCCAGGAATCTTTTTCTTATCTTGCAGCCCCATGATGATTTGTCTTGAACCAAATGATGGTATACCTACAATAATAATTCCTTCTCAAATCATGACCAAAATATTAAGACTGAGTGGGAACTAATTTCTTATATTTTCTTGGCATTAGAGATTTTTAAGTTTTTTTGTTTTTAATTATACTAAAGTATTCCTCCAAACAATTTAGCTCAGGTTTCTGGACCCCTACCAGATTAATTTCAAACTTAATTTGAATAGAAAATCATCTGAAAGTCATTAATTGATTAGGATGTTTGAGGACTTACATCAAAATTTAACCTAAGTTGATTAAGTAAATCTTAATTCATAAGAAGATGTTGCTGTGTGTGTGTCCACGTGTGTGCTGTTTGCAATAAAAAGATTTCTGTTTTACGTAACTATAGTGTAGTTGAGAGCTAGCAGAGTTCTACATTCTGTTGAATATATATGTACTCTCACGTAAGGGGAGAGCATTAGCAAAAACTCAGTTGCTTTGACTCTGAAAACATTTAGGACAGAAAAATTACACAAGCATCTTACTCTTTTTGCCAGGAGATATTTTCTACCTTTACTCCAATTCTTTTCTCTAGTCAGAAAACACTGAGTGGAAAGTCTTGATAGTCGTCCAGGAGAAATGAAAAGAAACAGCGGGATCTCTGTGCCACCATATCAAAACCACAAAGATACCAAAATTACCTTAACATCAGCTCCAGTTTTAACAACTCCCTCTGCAAACAAACTGTTAGAGCCTCATTACTTGGTTTCAACCAAGGTAACTTTGGCCTTCCAAAGGCTCCCGAAGTCTATAAATATAAAGCAGGCTTGCAGGCTTGAAGCAAAATTCTAAAATTATGCATAACATACTTAGGATTAATATAAGACCTGACATTCTTCCATACCTGCAAGTTTAACTAAAATTTCTTACCAAGATACTAGGACACTCAGTGGCAATCACAGTACCTTTTGCACCAGATGAAATAAATTTTGCCTTGTGAGTTTATTTCCCAGCAAAGCACAGTCGACATCACAAAAGTATGGTGTGTAACACTAAAATAAAGAACTAAGCCCCAAGTTCAGTAGCACACAGGCTGAAATGCAAGCTACCTTTCCCTTTCAGAGCCCACTCAGGGAGCCATGTACTAAAGCTGCAAGGTGCATTGCAAAGGCTGCCTGTCCCATGCCTCAGATATCTGTCCCTTACCTTGTCTTAGGCACTGAGAACCAAGATGCCCATGCTGGAGAGGACTGCCACAGTCACCACCTCCTCCTCCACAGTTAGGGGGGAGCATTCCTCGAGAAGGAACTCATTGATCAATTTCAAAGACAGGCTGGGCAAACCAGATCCAGCTGGAGTCAATCAGCGTCCACACCGCTAAGATGTTGGGGAAGAAAACCAGTGAGCAGAGGCCTCCTCGGCCTTGTCTCTGTGAATCTCAGGGGATAGGTGAGGAGAAAAGGTGGATTTCCTCTGCCTGGCTGGCACCTCCGACCTGTCTGAGCCTTTATTTAGCACTAGGAGGCCTAATGGGTGTTCCTGTGCACATGCAGATCTTATTTCCTGGGCATAAGATCTCCCATAGCTGATCTAGCTTTGTAGGAGAGGGTGCTTGGGGAGAGGGAGGAGTTTACAAGAGAGACAGTAAAGTTTTGCAAACTCTTGACTGTAAGAGGATGAACATGAAGAAGGTGGGAGAGAGGAAAGGCTTTGATTTCCAAAAAGGTTAACTGGAGGAAAGTGGACAATCCCCCCGCCCCCCACACGCACCCCAATTGTACTGAAAGGTAGAAAACAGAATCTGTTAACCCCTGCTTTTGCTTCCCCTCTATTGATGACAGTAGAAACTTCGGATGTCTGGACTAGGCTAATGGCAATTTATTAGGCTGATAGAATTTAATCTTGCCAGAATAGTTAATGCCTCCAAAGCCAAGTTGGCTCCTGTGCTCCCCAAATAATTTCAGTTTCCAAAACCTTGCTCTTTGGACGAGAAGAACAATACCAGGCAAAAAAAATCGCCCCAAAGGGGGTTGATTCATAGGCTAGCCTAGCGTTTGTTTATTCACGTAGCAAAAGCTCGACTCTGTCATACTCATCAGTGGAAGACAGCATCACCCCAAATCACGCGTGTCGCGCTCTTTCCCCCCCCCCCAGCCTCCTTGATTCAAGTAAAGCAATAAGGATCAATCCATTAAGACCATCCCCCCTCCGCTTTCCTCTCCTCAATAAGGGACAACGCTGAGCATGCAGACAGAGACCCTTCTGCACGAATGCATATGTGTGTCTTTACAATCGTTGTGCTAATGAGCAATCCTCACTCCTGTCCCCGGTTGGCTGAGCCGCCCCAGCGGGTTTCTTCGTTGCGGCGGTCATCTGGACTGTTCCACAATAGGGATGAGGAACACATGGTCGCTTCCAGGGAGTCAGAGAGTCACCCACTGCAGTGACCACACACCGAGCGCCAGAGCCCATCCGGCTGTCCGAGGCTCTCCACCCTTCCCAGCCGCGTGCCCGACGTTACTGGCAACGACGGGCCCCCTCCCCTGCCGCCAGCCGTGCAGCAGAGGCCGGGGCTCCGCACACCGGGCTGCAGAGCCTGCTCACCCCCGCGTCCGGAGCTGGGCTGCTGGCGGCTCTCAGGGGCACCGGGGCTCCCGGCTCGGCTCCTGCAGCGTCTCGGGGCCGGCCCCCTCACGGCGCGGGTCCTGCGGCAGCCGCTCTCCGCACCCCACCAGCCCGGCGGCAGCGGCAGCAGCTCCAGCCGCGCTGCCCCTCTTCATACTTCTCTGATGGCTCCTCTCGGTGCTGTTTGGGAAAACGATTTTTTCCCCCTGCCAGAAACAGATTTCCTACATTTCATCAGTCCACATAGACCGAGCGGAAGTAAAATGCTTACTTTTTCTGGTGGACAGCAAAAGCAATTGACACTGATTTACCCTTCAAACGGGGAGAGATTGTATTACAAGCCCTTGGCAGCAATTCCGAGGTTGGGGCCAAGCTCCGGCCCCCTCCCGGTCCCCCAAACACTAACCTAAAGGGCGGGGGAGAGGGGTGGGGAGGGGATCATATTTAACTCGGAGGTTTTAACAGAGTCAGTGGCTTTAGCACAATATTAAAATTGGGTGTTGGGAAAGTTCTGCTTTCCTGGCCAGTGATTTTGCAGACTCGGAGGCATGAGCTTGCCAGTAACTTCGGCCACTCTTCTTTCAAATTGAACAATTTGATTCTTTACAACTCCCTTTAAATATCAGACTTTAGAAGAGACTGTATTTCACGGCTGTTTTCGCTTTACAAAAGGAAATACAGTTCCACCCTTCCTTCTCTCAGCCTCAGCTCAGTATTATGTTGAATGTCATAGACAATTTTCTCCAACTGTTGTTTATTAGGGTATGTATTCTGAGACGAAAAGTCTCCCCATGAAGCAGACAGATGCTCAAGTGTCTGCTTCACCTCTAATAGACATGTGACCTCTTGTTGAGTGTCCTAATCGCCTCAGGTTACTACTTTCCGTGGAGTGTAGGTGAAAATGATCATACTTTTTTGTTGTTGTCGTTTCAATGTTCATCAGTTTCACAAGCATTTCTATCCAATGATCCTGTGGCACAGGTATTCTAGTCCTCTCTTGGATACCATGTTTAAGATGGTGAGCAATGTACCAACACACCCAGCCCAGCCTCCCCCCCCCCCCCCCCCAAAAAATAGAAACTACCTGTGGATGGATAATAGCAAAGCGATGTGGGTAATTTTAGATATAACTGAAAAAATGCATTTTGTACTTATTATTGCTTTCATCTGGAAATGGTTATTTGCTCTAAAACAGCTAGAAACTGCATCAGTTCTTTGGTTGTAGTAGCGGAGCAAATAATGAAGAAGGGAAGAAAACAGATGGAAAAGTTTGCTGGCGCTGAACTCCAACCTTTTTATTTTAGTTCAGTTGGGTACTGCAGTTAGCTCCATATTCCTCCTTAGGCTTCCCAGAAGAAAGGGAAAAGAGCCATTCCTCATTTTAAGGAGAAACAGTATTATAAAAAGGCCTATCTTACTGCTTAGATATACAGCAACGAGAACAACAAAACATACAGAACAGGTTACTGATGAATTTGAGCAATCATTCTGATAATAAAAATTTTCAAAATTTAACCAGATAGATCTGAGTGTTACTACAGGCCCAACAAAGAACTCTTAGTTTCTGAACCTATAAAATTTAAGTAAAATCAAACATCCCTGATAATTTTTCATGATCAAAATATCATCAGCCAATAAATGTTAATTTCAATATCTTCAGGGTATAAGAGTTCAAAAAGTTTAACACCTAGATTTTCAAAAGCTCATAGTCTCCTTTCTATATAAATATTCTTGTCACATTATTCAATATTGACATTATAAAAAGCAAAGTGTAAAGACAATATTTTTGTTGATTAAGGGACAATGTTAAACCCAGTTTGGGAGAATAAGGAGGCTTCCAGAAGCTTTGGGAGAACATAATCATTCAAATTACTCCCTTTCATGCCCCTTTCTTCCAGGTATTTTTAATTTTAAATTCTGCCTTATATCAGATCCTCTTTCCTTTTTAGCAAAATCCAAAAGGATAATACTAGGAGAAATATGTATTTTCTCCCTTAGCATCTATGAGTTGTGCTGAGTATTCTTTGGGTGACAAAAGAGAAGTAATACAAAAGATTTCTGAAGAGGCAGCAAAGTAGTGTTTTCATTTAAATTTTTTTCAGCATTTGTAACAATTTCCATTTGATTTTTATGTTTTATCAAATTTATACTTATGTATTCCAATCAGTCACTTATAAAAATTTGTCAGAAAATCTTTTCATCCAAGAATTTTCTTGCCTTGGTCTCAACCTAAACATATTTGTCTTAGGAAACCATAGTGCAACTGACTCAATGATAACCTCCCTGATGTGAGGTGAAGGAAGCGAATGCCTCACCTAACGGGGTGAAAAATGTCTAAATACATTCTTGAAACATAATGACATAAAAAGGAAAAGTCAAGCCAAATTTAAAGAAAACATAGTATTGTTTTCCTTTTTAAGTTATCACAGTTTTGAAGACTTTATATTAAGAATTCCTGGGTTACTACGTTTTTCAGTGTTGTAAACCTTCAACATTGTCTTCAATATGAACTGTGCCTTTTTCTAAATGTAAATATATATGTGTGTGTGTATATATATGAATATATACATATATGTTTAAAATGAGCAATAAAATTATTTTTTTCCTCATCTATAGGTTAGCCTCTCCTCACCCCTCACCCCTCACCCCCCACTCATGGAAATAATATAAACGCACTTATTCTGAAAAGTGGGACAAACCTTCAATAGAGGATGGAGATTATCAGGAATTTTGAAATAAATAATGTGGGAAGAGACACTAGATTAAAGTAGAATAAATTTCCAAGGGTGACCAAGACATTCTTATCCCTAAATAGCTTTGAAAGGGCACTTAAAGATGGCAAGTGATAGTGTTAGAAGCAAGTGAGAAAAATGATACAGAAAGCAGCATGAAGACATGTAATTGTGCTGAAGAAATGCATAAAGCAATGTAATAAGTGAAAACATTTATTTATGTTTTATTGAAATAGTTTATCAGTGATGTAAAATATGTTGATATTTCCCTACCTAGCTAACATCTTGGCCCATGATACAGGCCTTCAGTTGATTTACATTGAAATAAATTTTTTTAAATCTCATAAGGCAAACAAAATGGATTTTATAAGTCCTAGAGTGGAAATTACAAATACTGTTAGGGATAAAAAGTCAATGCTATTACTTTTTATCAGTATTCATGTATAAAACTACAAAGAATGGATTAAATGGGAGAAATTTCATGGGAAAAGTTCAAGATATACTCTCAGTTTGATATGCAACTTTAAAAAATCTATTGCTTTACTCTCAACGGAGAACTTTAAACTTTATAAGTACAACACAACAGTAGCACAGATATCCGTTCCCTACTGGGAAGACGCATATTTTTGCAAACTGTGTGTTATATATGAGCATATGTCTTCTAATTTTTACACAGGGGATAGATTGAAATCATTTTATGAAATATGCCATCTATCTTGTCTAGCTTTAAAATATCCTATGCAATATATACTGTTAGTGATTTTTCTTGTGTAGGTTGGAGTCGTGTTTTGTTTTGTTTTTTTTGCAGTATGCGGGCCTCTCACTGTTGTGGCCTCTCCCGATGCAGAGCACAGGCTCCAGACGCGCAGGCTCAGAGGCCATGGCTCATGGGCCCAGCCGCTCCACGGCATGTGGGATGCTCCCGGACCGGGGCACGAATCCGTGTCCCCTGCATCGGCAGGCGGACTCTCAACCACTGCACCACCAGGGAAGCCCTGGAGTCATGTTTTTTATTTTTCCACATATTTGTGTGGCTTGTTTCAAAATCTTTTATTAAAATATCATGCCATCCTAATTGCAAGAAGCTCGAACTTAATATGAATGTTTAAGATAAAATATTTTTATTTTTATAACCTTCTCTTTCTTTTACATGACTGTCATCTCCAGTATCTAAAATACCACTGAGCATAGAGTAGGCACTCAATAAATAATTGTTGAATGAACAATTGACCATTATAGAAGAAGCCAATCTCTTAGGAAGCTTACTGCTAATTGGTTAGATCTTTATATATTGTCTTTAATTTAATAGTTTGGAACTTGGAATAGAAAAATAATGTTAAAATAACATTATAAATGATGGTTTCATCCCCAAGTTAGAATAAGTTCATCTGGTTAAATGCAACTAGAGTTCAGTAAAACAGATGCTTGTCTGTGTGCCAGGCTTATAAATGAGGTCAGTCCGTGTCACTTGTCACTTCATTAAAAATCAAGGTTGACTTGGACTCAAGGTTTAATCATAACCAATACTATGAGTGCAGTGAAAAGTGATAGGAAATATTACTACTTCAGTGGCTTTCAAACTTTTTTTATTGTGACCCACAGTAAGAAATACATTATGGAACAGACACATAAAATCACACTCAGACACACAACCAAAACATGGCTCACAAAACAGTACTTACCTTCCTCAGTTAATGCACTCTGTTATTTTTCTGTTTGGCTTTATTCTAGTCTTTCTATGGCATTCAGTTGAAAAGAAATGTTGTTGGGGAACTGCTAAATTTATTTCAAAGCCCACAATTTGAAAAAGAAATCTGACTTAGAAACTAAGCTAAGGAGAAGATCCATCAAAATTGAGGTAGGGCGTCAATGAACAGATGGTTTCATTATAAAGAACAAAACAGACGTGCATATATATTCTCAGAGGTAGATGATGCGATGTCCATCACAATATCCCAAACATTGTACACCTCATACCTCCATGTCTTTGCTCATGCTGACTTGAATGATCTTTACCTGTAACTTTCTCCCTTTGAAGCAATCAGATTCATTCTCCCAGGACCCGCTTAATCGTCATCCTCTTTGTGGTTCTCTTGATCTCCCTGACAAAATATTGCTGTGCCTCTGGGTCCAGGGCTCTGGGAATTTTTCCATTTCTTTTATATCTCACTTAGGACGTAGTATCACAATTATTTTCGTATGTATATATCTCCTCTACTAAACTGTGAGTCCCTGGAAAGCAGGAACTAGTTACCTATCAAGTGCTCAGCACAGCACCACCCAAGGGTGTTGAATGATTGAATGAGTAAATAAATGAACCATAAAACCACTGAATATCTGAAAGGGAAAAATCGGGTGTCACTGGGTGATGGGACAGATACAGGAAGGAAGGACTATGCCCATCAAAAGGGAACTAAATGGAAATCCCTCTGTAAAGGTGGCACCAGCTATTAATTTTGCATCATTGTGAATAGAAAACTTTACATTATAGGTGAAATTTTACTGTCACATTTCTTGGGACTCTATTGCAGGT